ACAGTGATATTCGGTATCTAAAGAGATTGGAAGGTGATCTTTTGTTTTATCACCTTTCCAAAACCAAAAGCACAATAGCAGAACTGTAAGGAATGGATTAAGCTCTGTTTATTTGCACAGTTGCAAATAACCTTTTTGAAACAAATGAAATTGACTGTGCCATTGAGACTATTTAGAATTTATTACTGCTTTACTATGGTGTCATATTGTGGTAAAAATGAAACATTTAAGTTTTGTATAGTTCAAAACATAAAAGGCAAGTCCACTACTTTATTTTATTTAAAATGTAGGTTATACACTACACTATCATGCTAGACCCCTCTGCCCTCAAAAGGTTGATTCTACACAAACCAAAATAATAGGGGCACACCAATGTAATGACATAAACTGGTTTCACACCACAACACATGAACAGTGAGCCAAGCCACAGCTCCAGTCAAGACAGTCAATAGCAGCAAAGTAGCTGCAGCTACCACAGGGAGTCGTTTTCATCCAAGTCTGTGGCAGCACGTAAGGAATAAGGTGTTTTCATACCAGAAAAACAGGAGACTTCGATTGTCAATTCAGCCTTAGTTGTATTTAAAAGGCTCTGGGGATGTACAATGTCCGTCTGTGGGTCTACCACTTTGCTCTCAGTAACTATTAGATGGATTGCCATGAATTTTGGTACAGATATCCACAATTCCTGGCAGTATGAATTTTAATAAAGATAGTTATGGTGCCTGCTTTTTTTTTATCTAGCCTGAGCTGTAGGCTACTTTATGTTGTTTACACCGCTGGGAAACAATTCTCTGCTCAGTTATTGGCCTGCTGCTCAGAATGCAAACATGAAGAAGTAGAATTAATTTTGCAGATGGGAAAAAAAACAAACATCTAGTGTCTTTTAAAACTGCGCAAAACCTCATACACAAATGAGTCTGGAACCTCTCAGTTCACTTTCACTTTCCAGGTTGCAATATCAACCAGCCCAGAACAAAAACCATCTGGGCACAATTGGATAGACCTACAACCAGTCAGAGCAACAATACGCATGACGTAGCGCTGAGTGACACCATGGACTGTATAGAACCAAGGTTATTCTCGTTAACGAAGACGAACGAAATAACGAAAACTAGATGTGAATAAACATTGTCGTTAACTGAAATAAAAATAAAAACGAGGCTTTAGAAAAAACTATAACTAACTTATTGTAGGTTTGCAAAACTAACTAAAATGAAAGAGTAAATGTGTCCTTAGTTTTCATTTATTTATTTATTTATTTCATAGAACCTAAATAAGCCTACATTTCGAGTGGATATGAAGCCTGGGGAACTGACATGGTGGCAGTTGGTCTGGTCGGACCAGCAGTTTAGCGGTATATGCAGTGATTAGCTGATAGGCCCCTGTTGGTGAGCCGCGGGAGTCCAAGTCAAGTCTCAATCTTTTAGCTAGAGTCCAAGTCAAGTCTCAATCTTTTAGCTAGAGTCCAAGTCAAGTCTCAAGTCACTCGTGGTTATAATGAGTGTTGTATCACCTGCTGCGTTCAGTCCAGGCTGCTTATAAAACTGCATAGCTATAAAGGATTCTGTAACTGTAACCTGTTTTTCACTTACAGAGCACAACCATGTAATGTGCAATGCAATTAATGACAGCTTATTAATTACTGTAAGTCAACACACCTCCCAGACTCTCAAACCCAGTGTAACGTAAACTAAAAACTGTAACGTTACATGATCAACAATACACCTGTAGCCTGTTTGCAGCCAACGTTAATAATTAACCTGATGGCAGCCAGCGGGACGTAAATGATTACGTTAATCGACCACCTCAAGTTTGGCAGCAAACAAATGCGAACGAACAACAGTCGGAGTTAGGAGCCAGCTAAAGTTAGATGACCAATGCTGAGCTAAATGTGTTTAACCTCAGGTTACTACCCTATTTTGCGTTCATCGCTTATTTTTTTGGGTCTTGTTGTATGAAGTTTTAAAGCCAAAGTTTATGATGAATGGCAGAGCAGCTGCCGGTGTTTGTTGTACTCTCTCACGTCTGATGGTCTGGCTTAGTGCTCATTGATATCTCAGCCAATCTGTCTCTTTGTGCTTCACATTGTTTAATACCTATATTTTTTTTATTAATAAAGGTTTAGATTTTAATAAACCGCTTTCCAGTCATACTTGCCTTCAGGGTGCTAGGGACCTGTTGTTTGTGGCTCCAAGGGGGGCTTACACTATCTTCAATTTCTTAGCTGTCCATCAATTATATGTCACCTCTCTAACCTTATTGTATTTCACCTATCTAACCAAGAATAATAGAGCTAGAGACGGATGTAATGAATTTCTTGTGACCACTGGATTGTAGGATTAGGGTAGCTTAGCTATTTTCTGTTTGTAGGTTAGAAATTATACTGTAGATTCCATGTGCTTCATTTATTTGAAGTATTTATTTAGACAATGTGTTAGTATTTCAAATATATATTTGCTTAGTGTTTAAGCCCATATATACAAGCTTCAAATAGATTTAAAAAGGGTGTAACTTTTCACAAATCTGCATTATTTCTAATGATTGTACTTTATATGTATTTTAATTTAATTTTTAGTTTTGTGAAGAAACTAAACTGAACTGAGCTTGGCATCCTGCAGCGACAAAGATTAAAACTAACAGTGAAACTAAACTGAAAACAAAAAGTCAAAATGAAATAAAAATAACATTTGTTATTTAATATTTCTTGTTGCAAGCAATTTATCAGAACCATTTTAACAAATACTTTCAAAAAGTGATGGGGACAAAATCAGCCATTTCAAAAAGTGATGGGGACAAAATCAGCCATTTCAAAAAGTGGTGGGGACATGGCCCCAGCATCCCCAGTGTAAATGACACCTATGTTTGATCAGCACTTGGGTCCAACAGGGAACCTTTGCTGCATGCCGTTCCCCATCGTTCTCTCCCCTCATTTACTGGCAGCTAATAAAGGCAAAAATTAAACAAGAGAAAAATGTGTCTGTCCCAAAGGGACTGCTCTGACACCAGTGTCTTGTACGGTAAAGACTCACATGGCATTTTGAATTTCTTATTCTTTTGCAACTTTTAACCCCATTTGTCTTTTGTTCTGACTTAGAAAATGAACAATGATTGCGTCCCACTTGGGATCTGGCTTCCCAACAGTTGTGGAGTTCTAGCCAAAATGTCATAACATAGTTCTTCCTTTAGGAGTTACTGAGGACAGCCTGAGATGATCCATGCACATGGGAGTGCATGTACTCTGTGTGTGTGTGTGTGTGTGTGTGTGTGTGTGTGTGTCTCCTCAACCAGCAGTCCCTCCTGGCACCGACATCTCTCTAATGGGGAGCATGGAGCTGGGGAGGAGATAGAGGAGGTGAAGAGGGAGCCGGGTTGCCAGAGCTCAGGTTAATGCTCTAATTGGGAGCAAAGGGAGACTGGTAGCCAGATTGTGATGGCCACCAGGAGGGGCCGTTTAAGGGGGACATCTGTTCCTGCTGGAGAACAGCCGCCCTCACAGTTCCCTAGTTTCCTCTCTGACACTCATCTTCTTTGTACACAAACTTGACAACGAGGGTCCCTCCCCTCCAGAGTCTAGTGTTACATCCAACTCATGGAGACAAGCCTTTTTCCCGGACTGGACCAAAAGCCAGGATCTGGTTGGAAAAGGATTAAAGCTTTTAAAGAGTTTGCTTCAGCGCGGTTTCTTTTAGATTGGATAGGGGTTGTCTTGCCAAGGATGTTGTGTTAACTAAAGCCAGTTTGCTTTTCACACTAGCAATTATGAGCAATGTGTTTTATCCCTTCACATGGTCCAATGTGCCATATTTCAGCCAGGAAGTATATCAGCCTCAGTTTCATCAATAAACATTTTCAGGAGCTGTTACACTGTGACTACTAAAAAGCATTCAGGGAGCACTCAGAAGATAGACATGGACAACCTAATTTCAGTAGTTCCTTTGAAGATAAAAATCTCAAAATGTGAAAACAAACCCTGCAGAGCTTTTAAACACTAGAGGCACTATGAAACAAAATCTTTTGATGAGTGGGTCCCCATTTTGTTTGTGTCTTACAAACTTACATCAGCATAATGAGGTATTTGTAAGTGAAGGTGAATGCAGCAAACGAGATACATTACTGCTGTTGATTTCATGCAATTCCACTGATTTACAGTTGGTAGCGATAATGAGCCAAGAAACATATCAAAGCGGCAGCAAAAGACAGAGTGCTCGCTCGCACAACGTAGGTTCCAAAGTACTAAAAATATGCATCACAAATGTTTAATGAGGAAGAAAGTACCTTCTGTACATTTGTTAGGCCCCAAGAGGACACACAATGTGCTTTTGTGATAAATACAGAATGAAAACAGTTGGCAAGAAAACTCCAGGATACCTTAAAGAAAGACTTACAATTATTCCTGCAAATGGAGAAGAGTCCCCACAAGACACTACTCTTTGAGATATCTTGCAAACTAATAAACAAACAGGACTAAATATATAGTCTTACAGAACCCCAATGCCAGATGCTGGTAAAATTCCAGACGACGTTCAATGCCAACATCTGTCTACAATATCTGCACATGGCAACAATGGTATGGTTAAGTTGAGGGAAAACTGAGAACATATTTGCAGATCTGTAATGGGACACAAACTCTGGTCTCCTACATGAAAGTTGCTGACCACCCTTGCCTATCACCTTTACACAAGGGGCACACTTCCTCATGCACTGAAGTAATCAATAAACTTTAGAAAAAACACATTTAAAATGTCCCAAAAGAAAAAGGTTGTACATTTTCAGTAAAACTGTCCACCACATTGATTTGTAAATTAAAAATGTTGACGTTGTTTGGACTGTTAAAAGCTTGTTATGCATTATGGTCCTATACATAAAATGATATAGCTCTAAACCCATTTCAGATTTTCATGTGTGGTAACGGTTCCCTGTTGGACCCAAGTAAGCTGTTCCCTGTATTTTATTTTCCCCCCTGATTGATGTGTCTTGTCCTGTGTGTCTGACTGTGTTAGGATACGCCATCCTGCAGGCCATCATGGAGAAGGCAGGTCAAAACAATTGGCAGGTCAGCGCCATCTGTGTCGAAAACTTTAATGATGCCAGTTACCGGCGACTGTTGGAGGATCTGGACCGGAGACAGGAGAAGAAGTTTGTAATCGACCTTGAGGCGGAGAGACTGCAGAACATGCTGGAACAGGTGATGCCACCATGACCTCGATATTTAGTTGTTATTTGTGTCTTAACCTGACCTGTTCAAAAGAAGCATCCTTCATTTTAGTTTTTTTTTTTGATGCAGAAGTATATTGGGCACTACTCATGTAATGCTGTTTATTTCAACTTGTGAAACTTCGAAAATGGCTGTAAATGCGTAAATTTGTTGTGTGTCAGCTGTGGTTGGACTTTTTTCCCATTGTCCGCCAGAAAGGCAGCAGAGCCCAGAGTAATTGGACAAAACTGAAGCACATACCTGCCATCTTAACATTGACATTCAACACTGCAGAATAAATTAATTTACAATATTTTAACCAAAATAAGTCACACATTTCAAGCTTTCCAGTTCGGAGGAACAACTTCACTTGTAGTGTGAATGTTGCTCCAACATACAAGCTTCAACGTTGCACCATACACTGCGTTACCATCTAAACACAGTTAGCACCAAAAGCTGGTTATTGTGAAGACTTTTATTTAATAATTAATTAATTCCAATTAGGTGATTAGGATTAGTGAGATGTCTGAAACAACTGGCATAGTGCCCTGTGTCCTGCAGTTCCACAGAGAACCATTCTGACAAAGTAGATTTATGTTGGCATATCTGTCGTTTTTGGCTTCATTGTGTGAAGTGTGGACGTCCTTATAAGGTCACCTGCTCACGATCTGCTCCAAGCACAGCATGTCCACTGAAGATGCTGCTGGGCAGCTGAACATCCCATTACCTAGTTGACTCTAACCGGACTGGGAGAGAGAGCATTAAAGTAATCACTAACTGCTTCTAACTGTAACATTAAGTTAGTCATACAGCTAGCAACCCTATTAGCTTAGACAACTCTGCCTGGACTGGGAGCTAGAGCACCGGGGAAATGTTGATGTTTACACTGCTAGCGCAGGAGCTGTGAAACCCCCGGGAGGAGGGGGACGGGGTTTTAGGTCCACTTTAACATTGATTATCAGTGGTTTCCAGGAAAATAATTTGAACTATTTGATAAGTGATGTGTGATGAATATTTGTTCTTTGAATAGGAGTATTAGAAACAGGAATATAACAATTATTACTTTGTCGCAATGTGTATTCAATCACAAGCAATCAAATACAGTTAAATATTATTATACCTTAAAACCTAAAACTCTTTATATTGGTACCATCAGCAAAATCACGCTAATCACTGATAATTTTCCATTCTCAATAATAGGATCCCGTTAACTACATTTCCAAAACTAACAGAAGTTAATACTTTACACACTTACTTAATGTTTGTTCACTCTGTTTTCTGAGTATGTTTGTGCCAATTAGAAAGTTTTGAACTTGAAAACAGTCTGTTCTGATCTCCGGTGGTGTAATTTGGCAAAAGCACACTCAGAATATGATGTGTGCCTTCCTCCTGCTCCTCCTTCTCCTCTTCATTCCTTCATCCCTCCATCTTCCTCTGGGGCAACTGGTGTCTCTCTAATTGTTCAATTATTCAGGAAATCTCCGCTCTGACATCTGTCATAGTTCTAACAATTTACTTCACAGATGTGTATGTGTGTGAATGTGTGTCTGTCAGTGTGAGAGTCTCTTTGCTCCACAGAGCAACAGACTTCCTGGTCTATCCTTTCTTGATGCCAGTGCACAGACCATCTTACAAGTAGATGTGATAGAACCATTCATATTTCAGCTTGTGGGTTGATACACTGTTTTGTGCAGTGGTGGTCAGAGCTACTGCCAAAGACATAAACATCCATTTTAGCCTGTATTCATTTCAACTGCCACCCTGTTCATATTTTGCCAAATTCTTCTGATCTAGAACAAGGATTTGAATACGTAATTGGGCCTCATTCACTGCTTATTATCAGCACGGTCAGTACATATCAAGGCTTATAAGCAACCAGATGTTACTTTGAATGTCAGAGCGTGAAATCTCTGAATGCAAACCTGTTTCATTTACAGATGGGAATTTGCTGGCAGCTAATTTGCAAGTTGTACAAACTGTGCTATAACTGCAAAATGAGCAAGGGTATGAAAACCCTATTGGCTAAAGTTAAAGTCCAAGAGGTGACAGAGCTGACTAAATATCACCAAAATGTACTGTATGCCCCTTTTAGACATGTACCTCGTTATGTAAATGCAATTTTTCATGTTTGTCTCATGTCTGAATAAGCGCCCTAGTCACGACGTTAACATTTCCAGCATGGCACAAGTCTAAATTAAGGGTTAAATACAGTATGTATGTTTTGTTCTGCCTTTTAAAGAGCACTGTAAAACATGTATGAATTAAATATTATATCTTATGCACAAACAAATCTGCTTTAAAAAACATGAAAAACTGTGAAGTTGTTGAGGAGATTCCTGTCATATCAGATCAGTCTATCATCGTGCAGACGATGGTCATGAATTGAGGCTTTGATGGCAAAATAAGCTTTAAAATCCATCAGTGATGCTGTCTGTTGAAAGACCAGATATAACTCGTCTTCCCTCATCGCTTCATTTTCCAACTCACCACTGTTCTCCAGCAGTGGCTCCTCTTACACCAGAAGCCAAATGCAACATAAGCACTGTGGTTTTGTCTTTAACAGCCCTGTCATATCTGAATGAAGCCATTGTGAACATTTACTGTAGAGGCATAGACGAATGCTAAACAGCCATCGTTTTAACAGAAAGATGAAGCTAACAATGTATTCCATGTCTGAAAATTGCTTAAGTGGTTAGATTTTGAGGACTATAATCACCATAAAACACGTAGTAAAGGTCTGAAAAACAACCCGACTGATGCTCATGTTTGTCAAACTAGCCAACCTTTATTTATTTTGTGCTGGTAGAATGGTCAAAAACAGTCAAAACACCTTCTTTTGTGGTGAATTTAGACATCTTGTACATTTCTTTTTCTTTCAAAAATGCTTCAAAATCAGTTTTTATCATCAAGATGCAGCTCTGTGGTTTTACTGTGTGTGTGTGTGTGTGTGTGTGTGTGTGTGTGTGTCTTGTATAGGAGTGTCGAGAAGCATTGTCATGTCTTTGAAAGCGTGAAGTGTTTACTTCCTCCACGAGATACTGACATGACTGCCTATTCATTTGTTTAGACGTCCGATCTTCTGTGGATTAAAGCTGACGGTCTCACTGTGTCAAGACCCACACACTCGCCTGTCACATGCATCATTTAATGTAATTAACGTTTGCTATGCTTTAATCCAGTCAGATTAACGCTGAGCTCTGCTCCGCCCCCTTGCAGATTGTCAGTGTCGGGAAACATGTTAAAGGCTACCATTACATCATGGCCAACCTGGTGAGGGAAAATTACTTCTGATGGTTTCCTTGTTTATTTGTTTTCTTTTTCCCCCTATGTTGTGGTATTGATATGTAGGTTGCATAGTATATTTAGAGGGCTGGTTTTAGGAGCAGATGCTAAAGCAGATACACATTTTGAACACACATATAAGCTGTAATGTTGGAAGTATTTTTTGATTTTATTGCTGCTGGATTCAGCCCATGACCGCTCTTTCCCCTTGTTGCTCCTCAAGGGTTTTAAGGACATCAACCTGGAGCGCTTCATGCATGGTGGGGCCAACGTGACCGGCTTCCAGCTAGTCGACTTCAGCAACCCCATGGTCATCAAACTGATGCAGCGCTGGAACAAGCTGGATCAGAGGGAGTACCCAGGCTCGGATGCCCCACCCAAGGTGTGTAATGTCAAAATCAAATGAAATCAGATCAGCAATGCAGCACATGCAATGTTTATCTTACTAGGATTTGGTACTGTAGCTGTGAGCAGGGACCCTTTTGAAAACTCCTTGGTGGTCGATTCTTAGACGCTGGCAAGTTATGGTGTCAGTTTCAAAATCTCTGTAATTTGATTTTTAAACTTTAGTGAAATTAACTGCTATTTGTAATCCATGGGATAAAACCTGCAAAACCACGGTCCTTTAATGATTCCTCCAGGGTGACTGGGTTGTTGTAACAGCAAAAAAATAGCAGATTCAGCAAAGAATGATAATGCAAGAAAGGACAGATAAGAGGAAAGAGTGTGAATATATAGCAGCGTGTCTTCCAGGTGTGCAGAAAATGGCAGCACAGCACAATGAGACAAAAATGTACTATATGAGCATATACTCACAAAGAACAGGCATCACCATCATCAGTAGCAATCTGCTCCACTACATCCACTGCTGTCATATGCAGTGATGTGACAGACTGACCTACTTGACATTATTTTCAGGCACACAGATTGCAAATGGCAGTGGGGCAAGAAGGCATCACGCCATGGTGGTCAGCAAACCTCCTCCTTCCCCCAAGCAAATCTGTGCCCAACAAAGATTTCTATTTTAAAAAACAGATGCAGTGGAGTGGAAACGGTGTGAGTCAAGCTGTGTGTGTGTGTATGTGTGTATAGTATGTGTGCCTGGTGGATTGGGGTGGTTCAAATTAAAAGTTTACACCACGGGGCAATATCACATGATATTGTGTGTGTGTGTGTGTGTTTATCGCCACTCCATTTCTTGATAAATTGCTCTCTCTCCTGGAAATCCACTCAGACTAAATTACTCTGCTCCCCATTAAGTTTGTCCACAGCCTGAGTCAGTCCTGCTTTCTTCTAATATATTAACACTACCGGTGAGTTGGGCCTTCTTCTGGCATGTTTACTCACTTTGCAAAGACAAATGTAATGCCTTGTGTTTAAAAGTTCCAGGAATCTGCAGTTAGGGAACTAATGAGAGATTCCCGTATGGGTGACAGCAAGCTTTGACATGACAGGTAGGGTCGTGGACATACTCGACCCTATTTCCACCTGGTATTAACACGTGATCTGCATCTGCATATGTTACCTTGACAGTGACACCTGGTCAAGGATATTTGCATTTACATCTGGTATTAATAAACATTCTTGTTATATTGTTTCTGCCTACCTTGTGATCAGATCTTACTATGCAAATTATGTAGATGGAGCTGTCAGTAAACAGCAAGGGCTTCCCACTTAAAGGAAAGTGATGTGAGATACTCTTGAGGGGGCAGCAGCAACGTGCAAGGTGAAGGTCACGTGACAGACGAAGACAACTGAAGGCATCTGTAGATTACTTTTCAAGTTTCCTATGCTATAAGAAAGTAATCTGAGCCATTGAAGAAGCTCGCAAGCACATATACTAACTCAAATTTCTTCAGTCATGTGACCATCATCTTCAGTCTCTCTGCTGCTGTATGGATTCTACTTATTTGTCCTTTGCTAAGGAAGGGGTCATCTGTAGTTTTCTGAGGAGAAGCCTGAGATAGCAACAAGAGGCCGAGGTATGTGACCTTGCGATATGTTGGGTGGATTGGGTGCATTTACACCTGCGGATTGCATGATAATACCAGTTTAAAATTGGTTTTTAGTGTAACATCTTCCCTAAAACGGTGCGGCTGTGGCTCAGGAGGAAGAGCGGGTTGCCCGTTAATACGAAGATTGGTGGTTTGGTCCCCCGGCTCCTCCAGTCTGCATGTCGAAGTGTCCTTGGGCAAGATGCTGAACCCCAAATGCCCCTGATGATCAGTCGGTGAATGAATGTATGTGAATGTTAGTTTCTGTTCTGAGCAGTTAGGCTCAGTGTATGAATGTATGTGAATGGTGAATGTGACGTAGTGTGAAAGCACTTTGAGTGGTCGGAAGACTAGAAAGGCCGAATACAGGTAAAGACAATTTATCATTTATAATGGAAAAATTCCCTAAAATGAAAATTCTGGCATAGATAGTTGTCAGTTATGATATTCACCACCTCCTTTGTGGAAAACAGAGAAATAATATTTCCGGGGGAGAAAAGTTTTAAGCTTTCTAAAAACTATCCTTTGAGTCCAACAAAAAGTAAACAAAGAAACTGTACTACAATCAAGACTTGTGAAATTGCCTGGGTGTCTGACTCCTCTTCCACAGAGTCCGCTGTGTTCATAGTCCGCTGTGATTTATCGGCCGATATGAGCTAATTGCATTTGTATCGGCATCTGCATTTATAACAGCCGATTACTGACTATTATAAAAGAGACACAGTTCCTTCACTCATGTCATGGTTGCTGCACAGTTTGCCCACCAGAGGGCGCTTTGCAGCTCCCCTGTTAACAACACTGCCTCAACACAACAACCACAAAAGAAAACAACCAGCTGACCAGAGTCTACCAAATAGTGATGTGCGATAGGCTACCACTTAATTCCTATAGGATCCAATACCAAATAATACCCAGGCTAGTATTGCCGATACCAATACTTTTAACATGTTTTATTTCTAGTTTAATGTGACCTCCCCCCTCCCGTTTCTGTATTTATGAGAGAAATAAGGAGTAGGCTGTAGCCTTACCAATTGAAAATAATAGCTGCATAATGACAAGACATCAAACTACTGTCATATTCTTTAGTTATAATAAAAATATCCTGCTCAGAACTGCCGCTTCATAACATCATCCTATTGATGTGCCAGACTTAATCTCAGATGTTTAGCGAAGTTAGCTGGTGTTGCCAAAGTATTTCACTGTCTTTGCACACACATCACACAGAGCTACATTGTTACCTTCACAGCTAAAATACAGCCAGACGTGACTGTTTTTACAGTCGGCCAGAGTCAGTATTCAATTGCGGGAAATGTAAAGGGCTGCAGCTGCTCACTTCAAAGAAGCTCCGTCACAGAGCCATAGCACAAGCATGACTTTGACAGGTGGTAGAAAAAGTACTTCCTATCAACCCAGTATAATTAGACCATCCTGGTGACAGTAAGATACTTATGATAAAACACTCACTCACTCCAAATGACTGAGTTTAGATATCGATCCTTTTATATGAGTATCGATCCTAGAGCAGGAAACGTTGGTATCAGAAATATCGAAGTTACATGTTATGTTACAGTAACGTTAGCTGTGGAGGCTAGCTCATTTCTCTCTAGTTCATCACTTCTAATTATTAACATTTCTTTCAGCAGCTAACGCTGCCCGTTGCTGTATTAGCCACAAAGCCAGCTAATGTGATGTTTATTAGTGGCAGAACACTAATGTCATAATTAACAGTTTAACTATAAGTTTAACATATTCTTTATATATCTGTGTCCCACTTGTCTGTAGTCAGAGTGTGTGAAATGATTAAACCAGAGCTGTAAATAAACATAAACTGAACAAGGATCTAACACAGCTTCCTGCCTGCTCCTCTTTCAAATGTGAAACGTTTTAGTTATGTAGTTGAGTGAAATCTTAAAGTTGCAAGTACTTGTTGTAGAAAGTCATGGAGTATTAGATGCATTCAACAGCAGGCCTCTGTATCGTAGATGGCATGTTTTAAAGCCAGATGTTGGTTGAGAAATGGTTCTCGTAGCCCTGGACAGAATTAAAGAATGCTGGTAAAGAGATAAACTAGTTAATATGCTACATTGGCAATAGTCATCAGGACAGATTATGTGTAAGGTAGCATGCTTATTCTCTCTCACTCTCTGTTTACAGATGGCTGAAAAAGTTGCACCTTCCAGCAGCAAGTATTTATTGATGTGCAATTGTTTACATGTTCAGTTGTTGAGACTGTAATCTATTTTATTAACATAATCCATTTAGGAAAAAGTATTATAGCCCACATACAGAACAGCTTTCAATATTGGCTTGTTCTAAGTGTAGTTTATACAGGAAAGGGGTGTACTATCCAAATGAGAGATTGATGCAGCTATACAGGTTGTTTTAATTCAACTAACAGAACAAATAACAACACTTAAATCCGCATTTTTCATTAATATAATGATTCAGAAACAGAACTTGGCTTACATGAACACTTTGTCAGGCTGAATAATGAGCAATAAGTGAAACAAAATGGCAATTCAGGCTACTTTCTGTCTTAATAACAGCATTTATAAATTTGCTAGAATTCTAAATATACTGTGTGTATGGAGGTGTTAATAACAAGGGATGGACCTAAATGAAAATTCTTGGCCGAAACCGAATATAATGGGGGGGAAAATTGCTCTTTTTAAAAAACATTTTACCATTTCATAAATTAAATAGTCAAAATGTGCTTTTTACTCAGTGTTTCCCACAGGATTTGGAGAGTGGGTCCGAGGCCCAAGAGGGTCCGGTTAAGTAAATTACATGTGTCCATTTAATTTTAATGGACACATGTAATATGTTTTATCCTTTCTCTGAATATAATCCAATTAATCTTATGTCCATCCTGTATAGGATGGACATAACTTCTTATTTTGAAAACCGGATGTTGTCACATGTGTATCCTCGCGCTAAAGTCATAAAGTCCAACACTTTTTATATACAGTCTATGGTCCAACCCAGTTTAATAAATAATGTTGTATATGGTTCTCCTATCGCGTAACATGAAGACTTCACAGCCTCTCTTCAGGTAGGACTCTCATACTGCAACACTTGTCTTTGTAAAGAGAGAAAATGACAGGATAAAGACGCTAACCTGCCTGTCAGCTCACACTGGTCCGTTTCAGTGGATTGTCTGTGCACTCCAAATGTAGGTGTGGCTAGCTTTTAATTGCCTTCTCAGAAACGAGTCACAGAAACACTCAAAGCAGTCAGTTTGTTGTCTTTTCGAAGAAGTCAGTCGCAGACATAGACTGCATATAAAATCATCATTACGCGCGCCAGACAGAGGCCAGCCGCAAAACGTTTTATATTTTACAGCTTTCGTATGTAATGTCAACTCTAAATCCACTTCTGGGAAGTTTTGAGCTGAGAATATTGACAGTTTTACGAGAAGTGATGGCGGAACAAAAATGTACTTGAAAGTTTTCGGAGTTGAGTCAGGAAACCCGCGGGAGGAGCGCGTGAGGCCGACCGGCCAGCCGCCCGCCCGCTCACAGAGCCCTCTGCCCCCACCGTCACACAGACCACTGCAGCAACAACGGCAGAGGAAAACACAGCTGGAAGGTTTTCATACCTCTTATCTGTATTTACATTCTGAGTATGTTGAAACATTTTAACTTAACATAAATAAAGAGAAAGAGAAAGCTGTGTGTGTCGCATTGAACCTTAAGTCGCGGCAGTTGTGTGCGGCATCGCTATGAGGACCAGCTACATTGATGGGTACTATCTCTGGGTACTATCTGCAATGGAAAATGGGGCACGGCCAAACCGAGTCCAGTAGAGTCGAGGCGAGTTGAGCTGGTAATGGTAATGGAAAAGCGCCATAAGTCACGCCCCTCTTTGATACTGTTGCTAAGTCCGACAAACTGTCAGACCTGAGGACTTCTAGCAGGACGCTGCCACGGTCTATTACTGCACTCCCTGGAGAAATATTATCTAATATTTGGAAAACAACGATCTCATAAAGAAGCAGACAGTTTTGCAGTTGCATTGTGCATTTGAAGGTTGTATTCAGGCCTTCAAACTGACTTGAAAAAAATTATAGAAGCTAAAGCTTACTTATCACAGAGACACCCTATTATTATTGACTATTGAGAAAGAGGACAACGATATAAGAATTAACACTGTTCCTGTAAGCCTGGGTAGGTCTCTATTCACTATTACAATCATTACAAAGCAGAACAGTAGGGTTATATAACCTTACATTCAGTAGTAAGTTAGCTAACATTACATTAGTAAACAATCCACAGCCAACATTTTTCTGGATTTGTTTTAGGTTTTGGAAAGGGAATAAATCGTACTTCTCCTTTCAAACTCTCTAGGTCGCAACTGTAATTATTACAAGTGACCCAGGACCAACGTTTCACCACATCTTGAAAAAATACGGCAAAAGAAAACTAGAAAACGACGCATTTTGCATTAGAGTCAGTGGAGCGTGTGATTGGCCAGCTGAGGCCAAACAGCTTTTTTTTGTTGTTATTTTCAGCCGATTTATTTCAGTGGCCGAACATTTGGTGCATCCCTATTAATAACTGAAAAAAGTTTTTGTCTTTAAGTCTGGTTTATGTCATATGACCTTATGAAGCTAAATGGAAAATAATTGCAAAACACCTTCCCTCATTTCCCCTTGACCACGTTCATGTCTCCGGCAGCTTTAAGCTAGAAGATTGTCCCGACTGTTATTGAGTTTATCCCGCACCTCAATTGTTTGTGTGTGAAAGTGTGTGTTACTTTAGGTAGCTTGTCAAAGAGTAACAGGGGGATAGAGTGCAGTCTCCGTAATGTCACTGTGAGCAGTGGGCTAATGAATAGGAGTCACATCCGGCCGTAGGCGAAGTTAATGAACTCCTGCTAGCCGGGATAATTAAAGCCAGACTGCTACCCGTCTGGACAAAACACTTGCCTTTTCCTTTCTTTTCCCCCCACTAACTCTCCTTCTCGCTGTCTTTTAGTCATTCACTCAATTAGTTTTCTGCCACGCTAGAGGTGAGTTTTAGGGAAAAGTATCGCTCCTGACTGAGAGAGTGATTTCTGTAGACGCAAATAATCAGAAGCAGCACGGAGTCTTCAGGTCAGCGATAGATTAGGGAAAATTGGGAGGTTTACACTGTGGGGAATATGCTCTTCCCTTCTCTCCCTCTCCTCCTTTCCATTTCCAGAAAATAATGAGCAGAGTGAAACTACTGCCTTTCTGTAACAGCCAGGCCTTTACGTTGTAGTGCTTGGCCCTGCAGAAACTCAGCGGGCTCTTAGAGGTAGCCTTATGCAGATTGTTTTTAAAGAGATCTAACCAGCAGACATCGGAGACCATTTTGCCTGTCCAGCTTAATCAGCATTTAATTGGCCTCATACCTTTTCTAGGTGGATGTCCTCCAGTGCTGTATATACCCAAAATAGACCGCAGGGTTGCCTCCAGTTTACAAAGGGTATAATTTACAAATCCCATGCCCCTTCCATGCTCTCTCTTTGTTTCCTTTTAATAAATCTAATAGGTCAGAGTTGAACCTGCACTAACATCAACTGTGCCCACATACAGAAACGTCTGTATCGCTGATCACTTCCTCTTGTCTCCTAGTACACCTCAGCGCTGACATACGATGGGGTGATGGTGATGGCCGAGGCCTTCAGGAACCTGCGCAGGCAGAAGGTGGACATTTCCAGGCGGGGGAACGCTGGCGACTGTCTCGCCAACCCCGCCGCCCCATGGAACCAGGGTATCGACATGGAGCGTACTCTCAAACAGGTGGGAATGAAGGAGAAATACAGGCATATATGTATGCTAACTTGCTAGAGTCTGCTAAAGGATAAGACATCACACATTGATCTAATCTGATCTGTCTACACAGCCCGCATAGCGAAGGCTGCACATTAGCAACAGCTTCAATTCTCCGTTTTTGTGCATTCAGGATGTGTTAAGGCTCAGTATTGAGTGTAGGTCACACTCATTTTGGCAACAGTTAGAGCCCAACACACAATGACTGTAGTTCTGCAGGTAAAACGGAAGAAAATAGATCTGTTTTTTTCCGTGTCTTTAGTGTGTGACCTGTTTAGACAGCTGTATTGATTCCTACAGAAGCGTTTCTGTTCATCATCGTCATCTGTTTAGTCAGATGTGTGTGAGATTGACAACTGAAAAACAAGGCTGAAACACCTCCTATATATGTAGAAAAGTTGTTTGAACTTTGGACAGAGCCATGCAAGCTGTTTCCATCTGCTTTCAGTCTTTATGCTAATCTAGGCTATGTCCTGACTCCTACTTACTTAATGCACAGCCATGAGAATGATGTTGATCTTGCTGTGGAGATGAATTTGCTAGATGTGCGGTAATGAAAAGAAGAAGAAACTGAATCTTTCCTCAACTTGCTTCATGTTGCCTTAACTCTTGAAAGTCTGCACCAGGGTCAGAAACCTTGTAGAAGAAAACACCAGCAGCCCAAGCTGACCAATCACAGTTGTCCCTTCTTGGTATCTTTGTAGTTGCCAGAACCCTGACGAGTGGGTACGTTTTTAGTTAGTGTACCTTAGTGATTGGATCTTAAGTATGTTAGGGAAGTACAGTGTAACCTCTTAACACAGAGAAACACATGAAGCTTCACTTGCTGGAAGAAACTGTATTTCCCAAAATGTTCCTTTAATGCCCTCAAAAGACCCCTCAACCTTTCTGTGGAGTAAATGAATACTCTTTGCTGCTGTAATATCATTGTGTGTATGTATTTCTGTTTTCTCCTGTGTGCAGGTCCGGTTGCAGGGATTAACAGGTAATGTCCAGTTTGACCACTATGGCCGCAGGGTCAACTACACAATGGACGTGTTTGAACTGAAGAATAATGGACCCAGAAGGGTAAAACATCACACCACACTGCTTTCATTTGTGTTATGGATGAATACTTGTCCAAGTCAAGTCAGTAATACTGTATATTTTAGCATAGATACTATATATTTTATGTAGTCAGAGATATGTGAATGCTGCTGTCATGTAAAGTGTCTGGGGGCTGGGATAACACAATATGTAGTGTGGTATTTTCTATTATTATAAGTAGGTTGTGAAAAAAAAAAAAAGCTTCAGCATCTCTGCTTTCTGGTATGTGAGGATGGATGTCTGTAGAGGAAATTCAAGGGAAAGAGAGAAAGCTCTTGTGAGAGTGATAGAGAGAGGATGAAATAGAGAGCAATCAAGGTAGAGGGGAGGAGGAGGGAGGTCAGGAAGCAGAGAGGAGTTCCCATCAATCAAAAGCTGCTTTGGCCTGCCGTCCTGCGTACAGCGAGGGTCCTGTCAGGACACTGTGTGTGTGTGTGTGTGTCACAGCCTCTCTCTTACATTTTCCTTGTCCCTCAATCATCCTGATGCCCCAGCACACAGGAGGTATAAGCCAAACACAGCTCTTCGTTCCCTATGGCTTCCCACCAACAGTGGGAAACCTAAAGCCAGCTGGCTCGCTCAGCGTCTCCACTCTCACTAACTTATAGCTGCTTATGGTTGCCGTCAAAGCCTCTGTCTATTATAAGATCAATACATCAGTTTGATGTATTGATTGATGTATTGGTTTGCAAATATTGCCATTTAATGAAAAATTGCATTTCGACCAAGTAGTGCTATGTACTTCCTCTCGACGTTCCTTACACAAAGGATGTTAATATCGTGACCACAACATATCATGTCTGTCAGTTCCAGTCAGTCAGTTCGACCCTGAAGGACTTCTGGAAGATGACAGTAATGTCAGCTGAACATGAAACAGCTTTTGACAAAAAGAAACAGCACAACATCTATCTTGAAATAATCTTGAATGAGAGCATTTTTGCAGAGGCTGGGCAATTATTCAATAATACCACTTGTCTTTAAACAGCAGATGTGATGATTCTTTGATTTATATACGTTCTGTACATTTATTTTCTTACTAAAATATGAAATAAACATAAATAAAAACAAAATATACCAAAATATTATGACTTATTTCCTGATAACATTACACCTGTGAAAATATTATTTGTTCTTACTGTGCATTCATACCACACCGTATTCTTTGCTCGCATTTTCTGAACTTACCAGATAGTTTAACCTCCTTCCCCAAGCTCTTTCTCCAAGCAATGTCCAATTTTATCTCGTTTTTATATAAATATAGTAGTACCACGGAGCTCTGGGTGCCCACTGATGCTAACAACAACAGTGGAAGGTGGAAACACTCTGCCTGGTCCTCTCCAAACAACAACATACGGACAATCTCAATGCTAATAGTCTATCGCAACACAACTTTGTCGCTCTAGTTAAAAAACTTCAACTTGCACAAATCCCTTCACGTCGCGTGTCCTTACCATCCGACAGGAAATCGCGTCTCTCCACCATCGATGCATTGACTTTGCATGTAAACGCTCGCTTTGCGTTTGGTCTGAAAGCAGCATTTTAATATGATGCATTTTCTCATAACATCACAATTTTATTCTTGTATTTGTTTTCATAGATATGTCTTAATTTTTTTTTTTTTACTAATTAAAAAAATAAATCTTAAAATATTACAATATTGACCTTGGGAACTGGATAATCTCATCTCAAAAGGCCAGTTACTAGATTTTTGTTGGTTTTCAACCGCATCTCATGGTCTTCATCAGCAAATAGAGGTCGTTCGGGTGGCAACAAGTAGATTTATCGATAGATAGATAGATTGATGCTATACAATTATAGTCCATTTACCGTAATATACAGTATATTGGCACGTAGACATGAATACATAACAATCTCATATTTTGTTTTCCCTGCAGATCGGCTACTGGAACGATGCAGACAAACTGGTGCTGATCCAGGACTCTCCACTGCTTCCAAATGACACTTCTGGCATGGAGAATCGCACTGTTGTAGTTACTACCATCATGGTAAGAGACTGCTGGCATGTGCTCGCCAACACACACTCACGCATGCAGTCATATGCTTAGCAATTTGTAATGCCAGGAGACTTTATTATCTAGTACCGCTGCAGACAATTTTGAACATAACACTTACAGGCTATGCAGCGTCAGGAGCCTGAGGTTCAGTGGCTACACACCATACATCCTATCTCCAACATCAAAGCCTGACATTAAAGTGTGGTGGTCAGCTCCACTGTTATTCTTTACCACCTTTCCCTTGTAAAGCACCTTACTTTTTCTAAGGCACTTTATAAGTTTTACTACAGTTCTCTCTGTATTTGCACTGTTAACTGCTATTCTTGATGAACCTTGCATTCTTGGGTAATTTTTCTTGTCTCTTTCTGTATTCTATGATTGATGCAGACATAATGTAGACATAGTGTATGTGCAGAATCTACAATAGAGTTTGATTTTTTTTTTTTTTTTTTTATCTATGTAGAACATCCTAAGTAGTAAAGTTTTGTTGGCAGCCCTTTTAGAGCAAAGAGTAAGGGCTTCTCTGCCACTTTGCACAGACACTCAGCATTCTCACTGGGAGAAATCCATCATAAAAAAGGTAGAGATACCAATTATCCACAAATAGAATCCTCAATAGACCAATATACAGGAGCAGGAGATTTGTGGTGTAACAAAAAAATCTCAATTTATGTAGCCAAAACATATCATCACACAAAACTCCTCAACATCAAACTTATTATATCCCAGGATTTATAGTAAAAGCATCCAGTGGGGGACTGATGATTTGCAAGAATGCATATTCCCATGTAATGCTTAGATTTTGTGTACTATGACTGACCAGAGTTTAGGGATCACACATGCTTTGTTACCGCGTTAGAACACTATCAGTAAATAAAGGGGCTGTCTTTTTATTACTACAATAGAAACTCAATAAACCATCATAAAACTGAAGAATCAACTACTGCCACTTAGATTCTCTTTTATTGCACCAATAAAGATTTCAAAAAGCAGTTAAACAGCTCCACAACCAGCTGCCGTTACTGCGGTTTTTGTTCTTATTGTACAGATAAATGACTTCATAAAAGAGTTCCATACAGCTTCAAAAGCAATCAAAGCATTTTACACATGATTGAAATGAATGGCCTTTGCATGGCATGTTAATCTCTGGCTGTAGCAATGACTCTGAAATGGCTGACTAGAGTAAAAGCAGCCAGATGTTGAGCGTACATGTAGCAGCTGAGTGGAGGAGGGAAGACGGTGGGAATGGAGAGTCACAGCTCAGCACAATCCTCCCTCTTTTCAGCCCCTGATGAGGAACCCCATTTTAAGAAACTGAGCCCCAGTTGGACGCAAGCAGGATTTGAAAGCCCTTAATGGCAGAGTGATGGACACAACAACCCGAGCCAAAATGAAGCCCTAAAGACACTGGGCGAGAGGAGAGACACAGCACCTATGTTAATGGACACCCTGTTCATAAAACTGAACAAGAAATGGAGCCACTCAGACCCGTAATGGAGCCCCTCGAGAGGAAAATGAAATGCAAATGGAGGGAAAAAGTCTCTTTTAAGGACGGTGCTTGTGGATGGACACCCATTGAGGCTAAAATGGGTCCCCAGCTCCAAACAGCACAGTGTCTGTTTACTAGCATAAACAAGCTCCCACTACACCTGTTTTTGTGTTAGATTCATACATTGTCATGCCCGGTGTGTTTGTGTGGCCAATCACAGCTTGAATCCCAGCCTAGTTTGAATTTGTAATTTTTGCTAAACTCTATGGACCCTGAACTATAAAGTGAGGCGGTACCAGAATGAATATATATAATGTCTAACTGAATTCTGGTTTGCTCTAAATCTCTCACCTTCTCTGACTACCTGCTCTACCCTACAGTGTATTACACATTCAGAGGGTTTCCTGTAAGCTTTAAAACAGCTTAGAAAGACTAATGCTCTCATAATCATCCTAGTTCATATCCATCACGCTTTTATGCAGCATGATATTATAGTTATACTGTGATGGCTGCCTTTCACTCTCACTTTTAATGTTCATAAGAATAATCTTTGTTTAGCATAAAATTAATGAAGTGTTTCAGTTTTATATTTCATCAAGGCTGCCTCCATGTCTTAGGAACTTCATGTAACATGGAGTAGTTATAAAGGAACAGTTCAGCATTTGTGAAAATATGCTTTTTTTTGTCATCCAACATAGGCCAGTTGCTCTCTGGTTACAGTGTATAGATCCGTCTTGGCACTGTATGCACAGCAGTGAAATGACAATCAATTTTGTCATCTGACTGTAGATTTAAACTTTAATGAACATTGTGAAGCTTTTGTACTAGAAGTGGTGATGAAATTATTGATTTTTATTTCACGTTTATGCAAACATAAGTTCTATGTTTAACCTCAGACTGGATCCAAGGTACATCTGGGACCAGGACAATGTGTTTGGTTGCCCAGAATGGTGTCCAGAGCTTCAAACTACTCCATAGTTTTTTACTGTGCCCCACAGAGTGCATTGTGATCTTTTTCTATATGTTGTTTAGTCTTCTTTCGACTTGCTTTATCTATGTGTTGGATCAGAAATTCTGCCAGTGCTTTTGTTGTAGTCATCCTTGTTTTGATGCAATGACACACTAAAGTTCTGCACTGGCTTAAAACCGAGACCCGAACACGGTCTAAACCCGGGACTTACAGACCAGCCTGGTACTGCCAAATTTGAGAAGTAAACCTAACCCAACACTATATTTTTGTAATTTCATAGACAAAATTATGTGCTTGCTTTCGAAAGGTTCTTCTGCCTTGCTAGTTAGTAGATAAGTTTATAGATAGAGTGACATTGGCTATGCTCTCTTCCCACTTCCCAGTGGGCGTTGCATATCTACTTACAGCACGACACACATCATCACACATATGATTGGCAGAGTCAGAAACAGAAAGAGAGGGGGGGGTTAGGTTGCTAAAGTCTGCGGCACATCTGCTTGATCAGTTACAGCAGCACAAGCAGCAACTCCTGGACGTTCCTGGAACTTGCAATTTAGTTCCATGAACTCGGCAGAGAAGAAAACAAAAGCAGAACCTGTGACAATAGATAGACATTACATCTTGTTTCAATTTGTTTGATTTGTTCCTGCTTTGAATATTGGTTACAAGTGTTTTTCCAGTCTTTGACTCATCCCTCATTTCAGTCTGGTATGCCAAGCTGTAATGGGCTTAATGCTGCCCCCTGTGGCTACTCAAACAACTGTTGGCAAGACCCACAATTGTTTGTTAAGGTGCAGCAATAAAAACATGTTATGTTGGGTAAACTCGTCCACCTTCGTTAAAAAGCAGCACACAGCTGCTTTTATATAGTAGACAGTCCAAAACAGGCCTTGTAAGCTAGTAGTCAGATTGTAGCTGCTGCTGCTTGTTAGCACTCTGAATGTTGCATGGCTAGAAGCTGATATTGACTTTTATTTTGAACATTATGGGTAGCTAAGATAATGAAGTTTTTGAATGGGGCTAAAGATAAGACTGTGTCAGAACCCTACATGTGTTAGCAAATCCATTTGATTATGAGTAGATCTTCAATCACATTGTAATCTTCTTTTGTCTGGTCTATTTGATTTATAGTTAATATAGCTATTATTTGTCTTTAACACAAGGCGTTAACAGAGCTCTATGAAGGCTCAGGCCATAGCTGCCTGGAGGTTGCTGCTTCAACGCTGAAGCTCCCAAAGACAAGGACAAAGTTTGACTGTCATCTTAATGGCAGGACAAGGCTAAAAGCTTTGATGAAGTGTGTCTTGGCTTTAAATTTCTCCATTGCAATTTAAACCTGCCACCCTATCAATCAGCCAGATGGTAGAAGTACAGGCAAGGTCCTGTTATAATTATATTTTTGTTTAGCCTTTGTTCAAGGAATGTGTGTGGATTTTGTGGACCAAGATGATGCAACTACATAAATGGTTTGAGAGCATAGTGGGACACCTTGCGTCTTAAGTAGCATGTACAAATGATTACCTTCAGGACCAAACAAAAATCACTAGTGGTCCATATATTGTATTCTCTTGTCCACCTCTGTGACTAACATCCTCTAAGTTATGGACTGTTTTAAGACATTTTTTGGCATCTAACTTTATGTCAAACCATTTCTTCTTTGCACCAAATCTTTACAAAGACACTGTGTTGCAAGGTGTAATGATAATTTTTCAGCCCCCCTAATAGCACCACTGACACTACTAAATATGTTATGTTGTATGCTGATCCAAGGTTTTCTTTTTCCTCTTGGGTAACATTTTTATTTATGAAAATTTACCACAAATGGAGCTGAACAGGTAGCCTTGTGTCAAACTGTGGCAGTATTGTCGAATTACACCATTCATCATGTTGAAACGAATGAATTTACAAAACATTTTTGCAGTTAAGAGGGTTTGCTAAATCTGACTTGTAACCCTTGTTTCAGTTAACCTGATGAAAAATAAGTAATAGGGTTTTAGTGTAAGAAAACAAAATGCAGTTTCAATCTTGTATTCTGCTTTTTATGTTCATTTTTATTGCTGCCAGTAGTAAGCAGTGACTGCTGCAAGTGTACAGGTGTTATATGAGGTCAAGGCTCAGCTATAACAATATTGGCATTCATTAAAGCACCAAGGTGATCTAAAACCCTTGGCCCACCGCAACAGCCTGTCGAGTGCACTTCATGTGAAAAAAGCACAGTGGACATTTGTAAATATTTTCTATATTGTGCTTTAATTGTGCTGCCCCTTTTCAATGTCATACAACCGCATTAAATCAAATAAAAATGTGATTAGTGCCTTAAGTGGCTACTGATGACCGAGACCCAGAAATGAGTCACTTACTGGGAAAGCGTTATGGTGTATTTGCTGCATAAAATGTTTTTGTTGTCAAGTTATTGTACAATATGAATCATAATTTCTGCTGCTTATTATTCCTCATATAACCAGAGTGTGCCACAGATTGTTTATCTTACAAAAAACTCAAAGGCAAAACCAAACTGGCAGATTTTAGCACCACAGTCTAACAATTCTGATGTGTGTGCACCCTGATATTCATATATGTGGATTTGTGACATGAAGTTGGCCCTGTAGTGTGTGTGTACTTTTAATAGCATGTTAATTAGTCTCATTAGGCAGTGAGTGAATCAGTGTGGCTGGGATTATTGACCAGCCTGTCAACCATGCTGGCCTTTGCTGTGAAGACCTCTGAAGCACTGCTCTCTTCTCATGCCAGAAACACTGACTGCATCCTTTATCTCTGCCGCTCCCTCTGCTCCTCTGGCTGCCAGCACTGCCATACACCCTGATATCATAAATCATGTGGATTAGGGATGTTGTCCCTCTGATACACATCCAAAATATCTGCAAAGATCAACTTGTAAATTAAGTCTTCATTATTAAAAATGGTTAAGATTTATTAAAAGAGTATCATGAATTCCGTTTTTTAGTAGAAGAAAGCATGGTATTGCTTTACTTGAAGTGGTGCCAGAGTCATTACAATAGATGTATACAAACATATACAAATTGATGAATAGTTGGAGGCGAGCAGCATGTTGCCTGCAGACCACTGTGAATGCTCCTTCTTCGTCCATTCCCCCGGAGTATTTAAAACAGACCAACTGTCAAAAAAAATGCCAAAATTATCCATGTATTGTTTTGTAGACAGGTATTAGTTGAATAATCAGCGCTAACTACGGTGCTGATACGTGGCGTTTCCTGTCACTCCTTCAAAATAAAAGCCCCCATAAGTTTCAGTACTTGAATGCTTTTAATGTGAAGCAGAGGCAGGAGGCAAAGTCTGATACACTGTTAGCAGAGCGAAAATAAACAGTGAGGCTAATATCAATCAGATAAAATTACAAACAGTAAGGCTGTGTAGGTTATCTCTTGCTGGTAGGTAGGACATTTGAACCCTGTGAGGGAATGGCGGACTCTGACAATAAAATGACAACTACTTCATAGAGGTCATTATAGAATGTAAATAATTGACTGGCTAGCGATGAAATATGCCTATAGGTTTTATTTCATGCAAATTTTGACATAACTTGAAAGAAAATTCTGAAGTTAAAGGAAAGCAAAAACACAGACAGCCCAGACCTTCAGGGACCCCAAAGGCACCAGTTTTACTGTGTGGCAATTTGAATAGTTTAGTATAGTAAGTTTAAATACTTAATAAAGCAGAGTGTCATTTTTTCCTGTTCCATAATCTAGCTTCAAACCTTTATTATTTTAGTTTATGTTGTGCTTATGTGCTGCATATTCCTAAATAAATTTTACACAAACTATCTCATACACAGATAGCGTATGGCAGGATTGTGCTCTAGGATGTTTGCTGTTTGATTGTATTTTTCTTCAGAAACCAATCTGCCATGTGAAGTGAAGTCTGCTTTATGACAGGTTACATAGCTCCAGGAACCCATAGCAGGTTAATCTGTTATGGCTTTTAAGCATTTTGATTGTATTGCTTTTTTTATTATGATTAGAGTTCGCATTTACTACACTGTATTGTATGACAATTTTGTAATCAGCTTGTCAAATTATTAATTATAAATTATTATTATTAATTCACTTGATGCTTCATGATGCATTATAACCCACTTGAAGGGAAAAATGTTTTTGTGTTGTGTAAATTCTGCAAGGACTGAGCTTAAATACCACTGTAAAATTACTACAATTACTATATTATAATTTTTTGTGCAAGAGCTATTGTGAAACATATATTTCAGATCCCAAATGTCTTATTTTGACAAGAAGCTGCTAAATTGTGAAATCATTGTGTTGTACATTAACATTTTGTTGCGCTGCAGGCTCACCCGAGCATTTGCATTCTCCCCCCATTGGAGTCTTTGGTTACATTGCTTTGGCCCGGGGCAATGTCAAGCAAATGCATCTCAGGAATAAATTGCTCCCGTTCTCAATATGCAATAGGCTACCTTCTATGACAGAAGTAATTTGTTTGGAAGTATAAGCGCAGAAACTAGACGAGGTTTACATTTAGATCACTTTCTTAGCAACAGCAAATCCAATGATCTATAACCTACTGCTGGTTACAGTTTTAGACTGATGTAGCCACCCCTGATTACTTTAAGTGTTCAAGTCGAGTCAGGCTTGTTTTAGGTATTAAGTCATTCAGTCTGACTGCAGCTCATTTCTCACTTCCCTTCGGCTTTATGTCGGCCTCCATTCCTGCTTAGTCATACTTTCCTCCCTTCTCTTTGAGTCTCTGTGTATCATGCATCCACATTAACACTTTGATGATTTTTCTTCTCCTTCCTGCCTAAACTCTAGTCTGTGCTGTGTATATACAGCATAAGACTGTCATCATTACACATGCATCCCTTCCTGTTGTTCACTAAATTGTCTTAAGCAGAGGATCAAAGGATCAAGTCAGTTTAAAGTCATTACATTTGAAGCTGCACTATGTATTTTTTACTTTGATACACTCGAGTGGTAGTGGAAAATACATTAATTTTTTGAAGTTGCGAAATCGGAGAATTTGTTTCGTAGTCCAGGGTTCCAGAAGTAAAAGTCTTGTTCATTTTCTGCAGATAATATTAGGTGACTGAACAGTTGGAGTACTTCCACAACTTGGATGGGCATGAAATTCTCCAGGTTGAATCATCAGCGCGAAAGATGAACAACTGTCTCTGAAAACTGTTTTTTTTTTAATGAAATGACAAAGATACATGCAGGTTTACATAGAAAACCAAGGAGGGAAGTTACTATGACTCCCGAGGTGCATCGCCGTAACGAACATCCAATCAGTTTTTGTTTCAATTTTGATCGAATTTGGCAAGTAAGGCCCTGTGTTTTGTTTTCAACCTCAACAACAAACCTATCACATCATGATACAGTCCATATTCTCAGAATAGTATATGAATGAAGACTGTGCTATACTCCAGATTAGAGACCTTTAATTTAGGTAACTAGCTGCATCATGTCAGTCAGCGATGATGCCAAACTTTTTTTTCTTAATTTTTCTATAAAATCTTGCCTGGTGCAGTTTTAAATGTTACTATTTTGATTGCTTTATGAAAAATCAAATGTTAATTACTAAAGAAAATCCATTTCATAAACTGACTGAATTGAAACTGAAGGTACCCTAAAGAGTTTTCTTGTAAATAAACTATAATTTATCAGTGTTTCTCACCAAAATACATTGTGTGTATCCTTGAGGTCTAACATAAATGTCAAATGCATTTCCTGCCTTATAAAATATTTAAAGCCTACTCTACACTGTTTACATTCATGTTTGCCTGCTAGCAATCTTCTTCCGCACTTGTTGTCTGTGTCAAAGGGTTTTACTGCCACCAAATGTCGATCAATGAAATAGCATGAAACCATCAGCAAGAATGTATATTGCATCTCCTGCATGCTTGCGCGTTAGATACAAACAAAACTGGGGCCCACTCATCAAAACACTGCTCCTTAGCATTTCTAGTGGTTGAAAACTTCCTGGGGTACCTTTAACCTCAACCCTGGTATTAATGAGCTACAGTTCCTATTTGTCATTCTGTTGTCTGTTGCTGTGTGTCGATGAACCATTGTGCGAGCCCCCATGTCTGTGTGTTTGTCTGTCTGACGGTTTGGTTCACTGGTTATGGTCCCTTGTGTAGGAGGGTCCCTATGTGATGCTTAAGAAGAACTGGGAGATGTACGAGGGCAACGACCAGTACGAGGGCTACTGTGTGGACCTGGCCTCGGAGATCGCCAAACACATCGGCATCAAGTACAAAATCTCCATCGTTCCCGATGGAAAGTACGGCGCGAGGGACCCAGAGACGAAGATCTGGAACGGCATGGTCGGGGAGCTGGTGTACGGGGTAAGAACTTTTATTTCCATAATTTAAAAAACAGGATGCTTCTTCTCCCAGCTTTTCATCTAAGCTGATTCTTCTCATTCAAACTTTAATTGTATGCTGTCAGTGAGATTTATGATGGTATTTAGAGACAAAACTGTGTCTTCTTCAAATCTGTTACTAACAATACATTTGTACAGCAGCTTGGCTTTTGACAGAGAAATTGGTTTTCAGCTTTCTTAAAACTGAAAATGGCCAGAAATTAGTCATCAGAGTCAACTGCATGAGAATATATTCAGCATTTGTTATCCCGATGACCTTGTAATGATCACAATAAAGTCATAAAAATGTGGACTTAATATACGTATATCTGTGCTTGTTAAAATTTCATCATCAAATTCCTAAATAAAAATCATTAATTGCAAATAAATAGCAGAGTAATGGCGTCTCAAATAATAGCATTAGCCAGCACGAATGCTAACAAAAACATAGCTCACATGGTAAATTAAGCTTAATGTACATTTTCATAGAACTAATTCCATCAGTACAACAACCAACTCATGTCATACTCACAAATCTGCTTATCTTAGTTTCTGTTATCAACAACCAAATTGTTTTCATTCATTTTTAATCATTTCTTAAAATAGCATTTGCATTTTTTGATCTCTGCTTAGCTGATGTCAGTAAAACTCAACACTTGCTGCAGATGATTCAAATTAAAAGCTTATTGTGAAACATCCTTGCAGTAAGAATGCAAAATTGGAAGCAGCTAGAAGAGTGAAGAAAAAACTGTCACAGCAGTGGTGAGTATGATATGACTGTTGAAGTAGTGGTGAGGGGAAAAACATAATATAGTGTCCGGAAAAGACAACAGGTATACATGAAAGAAGTGTTCAGTTTGCATCAACAGCAAATGAAAATGGAAACAGATCAGGGAGATATCTTAATAAAATATGACTATATACAGTAAGTATGTCTTGTTATGTGTGCAGGATATATATTTTATTGAAGCTCTCTGTACTAACAGTTTATTGATCTACAGATTCTGTACATTGTTGCTGTTGCTGAGATAATTAAACCCATCTGAAATGAAATTGTAAACAGGCTTGAATTCTCTGGTGGTATTAATGTTGCGAGAAGAGGAGAATTAGTGGAGCATTAGAGCTGAGCTTTTGGAGGGGTTAAAGAGGAAATGTGGAGGTGTGGAGCTTGATAAAGGTGATTTGATTTGCTGGTGAAGTGTCTTTCTGCTGCTGACCTTGCAGTCGAATCAAAGTGGATGCAAGCCTATGGTATGGGATGATGAGTGGGGTGTTTGTGATCTTGTACGTGAATGTTTTTGAGGACAAAAACAGCCTAGAATGGAGGATAGAAAGATCAAAAAACATTCAAAGTGAAGATTTTGTCTCACTGAATTAAAATTGAATTTAGGTTCAGTTAAGGTTTGATTAACAATCCAGACACACCGATGGAGACCATAGAACAATAGTTGTTTAATCTTTATCTAGT